CTCCTAAAATGTGTAGCTATATTTAGAAGATGCCCTAAACCACACAATTACAGTATTCACCCCAAGTCTGAGTTGCCCTGCCGCACACCCCCTGCTAGCCTTCCTACCTTCTACCTACACCACAGGCTGGACTCTCCTACCTCTATTTTCTTAACATCCTTTTTCAGTTGATTCTGGTAATGAGGCTGTGTATACAACACAGGCTCCTTGAACCATGAAAGATTAAAAATCTATGCTGAGCTGTGTGGAAATACCAGAGAAATCTCTAGTACATCCAAGAACAGGCCCATAGCTTGTGGAGCTTTCGGAACTTGTAGCTCATGAATGCTCAACTGTGCGGCTCTCACATAATGAACAAGGCAAGGTCTAGAGTTACATGTAAGTTGCTACAGTTATTTCTAAGGACACTTACTCTTGAGTGCATGCATTCACTTACTAGAACACTGAAGCCTTGTATTACAAAGGTAAAATATTGGGTTCAAGTCCAAGGATTACTGTTCTAAAAACTAGCCGCAGAGCCTCACCCAAAGTAACATTTATTGCTTTTTGAAGGTATTTGTTAAAATGTGCATCCCCTAAAGTTTATACAAAAGTCCAAAAAGGTTCCGAGAAAAACTTTTAAAGCCACCACAATATCTTCCTAGTTTCTTCACTGAATACTCTGTATAATCCATAAAGACAAAATTAACATGCATGCTTAAATAATCCAAATGCTCTCTTTTATTCTTACAGCCACTTAGTGTCCATTACATCTGTTTCCTTAACTGGGGAGGGGTAGCTGAAAGCACGGCATTCATGTGCCACTTACATTTGTGAATCTGAAAGCAAACAGATATGAACACAAATTCCCTTACAAGTTACTGTGGAGTGAGACACCGTATAGAAAGTCCCTGGAAAAAAGCTCACTCCTTTTCCCTATTTGGAGAACCCACAGGACTATGCCTCCCCGAGGGAGTTTAGTAAGTCAACAAGAATTAATAATATAATGTGGTACTTAGAAGGCGTTGTCAATTACAGCTTCAACCCTGAAAACAAAATGGAATAAACCAGCAGATTTTTCCTTTCACTAATTGTAGCTAAGTGTGCAGAGACAACACATTCTTTAGACAGAGGTTTTTTTTTTTTTTTAATTTATTTTTTTTATTTGTGTGTGTGTGTGTGTGTGTGTGTGTGTGTGTGTGTGGCCAGCTCAGTCCACCAGGGGGCAGGGCTGGCTGGCATGTGGTGCTGGGGGATTGAACTGCGGTCCCTGTGCTTTGCTAAGCTTGTTCTAAGTAGGTGCTTTAGACCACTGAGCCATCTCACCAGCCCCTTTAGACAGAGTTTTGAACCTTGCTGTGAAAGCAGATGGTGTGACTCAATTTCTATGTAGTAACCACTACTTTTTTCATTCAAATAATGTAAATTCTCTCTGAAAACACTCCAGTTTTTTTTTATCTCTTGCCTTATGCCCAGCCTACATGGCCTTCCTCGACATGAACCATGGTCTCTCAAGAATGGGAATTCTATCTAGTTCAGACCTATCCCTAGGACTCCAGGTAGGACTGCTAGAAAACTTGGACTTCCTCAATGCATGACAGAATGAAAAATCTCTCCCAATTTTTTTTCCCTCCAAAGATCTTGAGAGATCCCTTTTATAATATCATGGTTTCTAGGCACTTCTCGCTGATTTCCAATGAAATGCAAGCAGTATTGGATTGCCAAAATCCTTAGGCCTTGAACTCCAGTTGGGTCAAATTTTTATTATGTGAAAAATTCATTGGTAGTCTTGCTTCCTCTTATCATCTACAAATCACAGTTACGACTTGGCTCAAGCATTAGCAGCCCATGGAAACAAATTGTTCTGTGCACATTTGCTAAACACTGTCGTAGTGGTAAGGCCAAGCAACAAAATTATTCCTCATACTCATTGAATCTATAAACAAAAGAAATTTATTTTTCAGTTATTCACCTTATGTCACCAAAAGCATGGAAATGTGTATGACATTGAGGCTAACAGGTATTTGCTGATGTATGCCGTGTATTTTTTTCTAACTCTGTTGAGGAGTGTCTCTAAGTTGAATTTGTTGTGATCTTGAGATATTAGTGATAGATAGCTGCCAAAATATTGTACATTATGAGTTACATTATGACTTACCTAATCCAGCTGTGTTGACTGCTTGGCCTTGTGCCCCATCCTCTCTGTGAAATAAACAACTTCTTAATCACAGAGCAGCTAGTGAGACATTAGCTTCTCCTCTGGGTAAATCTCTAAAGACTCATTTGAGTTAAATGCGTTCCCTTCTGGCAATTGGTTCGCAAACTTGCTTCATGAGGTGGTGTAGATAAGACGAATTAATGTACTGAATTAACCTTTGGACTGTGGTACAAGTTGTATATGTGCTCAGTAAGTGCTGGCCTAAACAGAACACATTTGAGGGGAATTTTCTAACAAGATACAGTCTAAAAAGTGAAACTCCTATAAAATATGCAAATTCAAAAGCTGCAATTTTAGTATCTAGAATTTTTTTTTTTTTTAAATGTAGTTGATACAGGGTCTCACCATGCAGCTTGGGCTCGTAGTGATCCTCCTGTTTTCAGCTTCCCCAGTGCTGGGATTACAGACGTGTGCCACCATGCCCAGCCTAGTATCTACATAAGATCTATCTATCTATCTATCTATCTATCTATCTATCTATCTATCTATATCTTTTATTATCTATATGGCTAATTTAAACCCAAGGTATGAATGCAAAATGTTCTCTCTCTCTCTTCTCTTTCTTCCTCTCTCTCTCTCTCTCCTTCTCTCTCTCTCTCTCTCTCTCTCTCTCTCTCTCTCTCTCTCTCTCTCTCTCCTTCTCTCTTCCTCCCTCTCTTTCAGTAACTACCCAAAACAAAACATTGCCATAATAGTGTCCCACTGGGCCAAGAGTTAAATTATTCCCTGTGACTGGAAAAGATATTCTAGGAGGACTCAGCAAATCAGGTAGATTTACCTAGCAGGACCGTACAATTACTATAAGGAACTTTTTTTTTTTTTTTTTTTTTCAGAAATTTATTGTGTGTGTGTGCGGGTGTGTGTGTGTTTTTTTTTTTTTTCTTCAGAACTGGGGATTGAACTCAGACCCTTGTGCTTGCCAGGGAAGCGCTTATTCTCCTGATCCACCTCCCTGACCCCTGTAAGCAACTTTTTTTTTTAAAATTAATAATAACTTCTAATTGTATTTATTAACCTTTATTTTTTTTCAAAGTTTTATTGATAAACAGATAACAATGAGACAGTTTCAAATCCAATTGGAAGTACAGTTTCAACAAATAATACACTGCATATATTCTTCTTAGTGGTTAATTGCTGTACAAGAAGTGTTTTTTTTTTTTTAAAGGTAAAGGCTTTACATTTATTAAAGGTAGGGAAAGAAATTTGCTCTGCAGAGCAACTGTGGATCAATTAAAAGTTGGAAAAGAATTCACTCTGCAGGGTGAGAGCGACCCCTGTGGAACAGAAGACACAGTGGCCAGGAGCAAGGGCTGCCATCTGCACGTCTCGCACTTGTGGAGCTGACATCAGGAAAGCGTTGATCAAACACCTGCCTGACTTCTCCTGAGAACTGGACGGCACTTTGTGTGCATGTGTCCCAGCCCTGTGGTGACGGATCATGCTGACCTGCTCACTGGTTCGCTACACCCTGATCTCTGTCTCTCTAGGGCTCCTCGACTCCTCCAGGCCACGCACACCCTGGAAATGCCACGATGACTGGATTGATGCTACAGCTTCCCTTTCAGCTGAGTGATGGACTTATTTCATCACTAGCCTATGCCGTATCTTAGGTTGTGCTTCTGCCTCAATGTGATAACTCTAAACACCAAGACCTTTCTGAGGATAACCCACTAATATTATAGATTGCTAGACAATGTTGTATTGTTTAGCTGAATTCAAACACCTATAGTATTTAAATGCCAACAGAATATCCACCTCTGACAGGACAAAAAAAAAGGGGGGGATACAAAAGAAAGATCATTTTGTATTTATATATACAAAATAGGATAGATATACTTTCACTTAATTCAATAAGAGGTGTACTAACAGTGTTTGGACAGAATATCCTGTCTGCTTCTTGTACTACGGATAACCACTAAGAAGATAACAATGTACAATGTATTAATTATCAAAACTGTCCTATTAATCAGCTTTGAAACTCTCATTCATATTTGTTTCTCAATACAATTGAAATTTTAAAAAAACAACAGAAAAAACCCACCAAGACCTATGATAGGAGATTGGGACAACAGGGAGTGCACCAGTGCTGGTGTTGCCTGAGTGGAAATGTACAGTGGTAATCTGCTTTTAAATAACTCCTAAAATGAATTGTTTCATACCCTTGTTCCATGAGAAAAAAAAAAAATTATAGAGCTGAATGTTTTGTCCAGGCAGCAAAAGTTTAGGCCAAATCAGATTTATGTTTAGAAAACAAATGTGATTTTGGTTAAGCTTAGGGATTGGGTGAGGCTGTGTCTACATCTGTATTTATGGACGCTGAGGCCCAGAGAAGCCATCTAGCAGCACCTGCATGGCCCAACTCTAGCCTCACAGAACTGACTGCAGGCTCCCTAAGGGCCCACCACGTCTCTCAGCCTTGGATTTCTCCAGCACAGTTCAGAGGTCAAAGAGCCTGCTCGGGTGTTAACAGGGTTTGTTCCTGGTATGGATGGGGCCCTAGGAAAGGACTAGGGTACTTCCTGTGAGATGCACACAGGGGGACGCCTCACCACTCTCTAGCTTCCATCTCACTGCTCTTGCTTGTATTCCAGCTACAGATGGCAGTCAGGACGGATTGGCCACAAACCACAGGGGACCTCACTGATGAGACTGTCCAAGGACAGGCTTTTCAGTGTCCCCAAATAGTGGCAGAAAGCTAGGAAATTGATCAAAGGTGTGTAGGTGGGACTGGGCCTCAGTGTCTAAAGCAAACAAGCTACCTCACTTCTGAGATAAACATCTCTTTTGGTTAAGGTCAGCTATTAGTTGCTAGGCAACCTTGTCATGTGTTACAAACTCTGCGAAAGTATAAATAAAGGATTGTTTTGTTGTGTGCTGAGTTAGTATTGCCCATCACGCAGACCAGCAACCACTTAGCCCAGCTTTTGTCTTCTTGTCTATCTTTCTCATTCCTGTTGCTGTGTCTCCCTGGGTAGAAGTTTGCAGTAAGACCAAAGGATCCCTACGCTGAGGTATTTTGCTACAACAATACAAAATGGACTAAAGTCCCTCAAAGTTCATGGAATTCACTTACATAAGAAAACAACTTCTAAGAAAAGTTGACAACTGCTGAGGTATCAGCAGACCTGTGGTGGACTGCCGACTGGTGGTCAGCTTGTAGCACCCAGCTGAACCGAACCATCATGGTGCTGGGTGTGGGAGGCCCATCTGAGGACTGTTTTAGCAGCATAAGTGGTAGAACTGGAGAGGAAGAGAAGCTGCAGGGAAGCCGTAGAGGGCTGTTGGTACTCCTGAGGCGCTTGTTATGCTGGCCTTCATGATGAACTTGGCTGTTCTAATTGGAGGCGGAGCTTAGGACCTCATGGTCACTGAGGATGGCTGTGGTTCATTTTTGGGGAGCTCTGATCCTCACCTTGAGCACTGCTTCCTGGCTTTTGTTATTAGGCTGGTCTTGAATTATGTAGCCTGGGTCCGTCCTTGAATTTGCAAGGATTCTTCTGCCTTTGCCCCCTGAGTGCTGGGCTTACAGGTGTCCACAGGCTTCAGCTGCCACTGCACTACTAACTCCCTGGTACTCTTGAGGCACGTGTTAGCCATGTTCTCTTCTGTGGGAAGTCCTTGAGGCAGCTTCAGAGGCTGGATTCTTACGAGATGCTTAACCACTTTCAGCTTTGCATTTACTGAAGGGATGTTCTTATGAACTTGAGGAGTGTGTGCTTTTTCTAATCCAAGCATCTTGATTACATCTTTTCCCCAATATGGTCGTCTTATTGTACTTTTTATTCTGGTAACAACATGTAGTTTATGAGGGTGCTGTGGATCCCCACCATACTTTTCATGATCTTCAGGTGAAGGCTGAAACACTTTATCTGGAATTCTTGATTTGGTAACTTTGTGACGAATCCAATCTGTACCCATGAGAGATTCCACACGTTTTGTCACAGTCTGTAGCCTGCCTGGGGGCCTGTGAACCACTGAACACAAAATCCCTGCCATAGTGTCGTAATTATATGTCTTCAGAGGTTGTAGGCAGCAAACAGATCTACTGGGGAAATGCTCTGGAAATGGACAGGTTCTCCCCTTTCCTGGTGCCGCGCCCGCTAAATGTCCAGCCTGAACTTCTGTAAGCAACTTTTTGATGCTTTGGAAATTTAAGAAATTGAAATGGATAGATTTGGGGAAAACCAAGTGAGACGTTAATGTGTGACTGAATTTATTCAGATTTCTGCCTACTAGTTTTTGTTTTTATTTTTTGAGGCAAGGCCTCTCTATGTAGTTCAGACTGCTTTTAAACTCACTATGTAGTCCAGGCTGACCTTGAAATTGCAGCAATTCTCCTGCCTCAGCCTTTCAAGTGCTGGGCCTATAGGTAGCACCACTGCCACAACCAGATCTGTCTAATATGGTTTCATTTACATTGTACACTATGTAATCATTGGCCTGTCTCTCTCTCTCTCTCTCTCTCTAATTATTAAGCAATTTGAGAAGATTTAAGGAGGGGTAAAGTTAAGGAGAAATGGGTTGAATTTTCTGAAGAGAAACAGGCCTATCATTTTGAAATTGCACAGTGACATCTTCCAAATATTGTTTTTTGGTTTGTATTTCTATCTCCAATTGTTGGAACAAAGTGCTAACAAGTCCTGGTGTAATGTGATACACTGATAAACCAGCTGGGAGGGAGTGTTTGTCTGAATTTTTTGGAATTTGGAAGAATATTTTTAATACATATAGAATAAAAAATGCCATCCTTGCCCTTAAAGATAAAAGCAAAACATTTAAAAAATATTGTTGTAATACCATTTTATAAAAATAATTTATAAAACATATTTCTTTGCAAATAAAAAAAGAAACAAAGCTGTAGGAACGGGGAAGGGATGTTTTCTGATAGAGAAGACTCCAGGTGCGTGGCTGGGTGATCCGATTACCAGCTTAGTGAACAGGGCATCAAGCAGTTGGCTGAGAAGACAGCCACGGAGCCCAATAAGGCTCTTGGATGCTTTATGACACCTATCCTGCAAAAGGCTTAAAGAGGTGGCACTTAATTATTCTTACAGAAGTGAAAATCTAGGATTCCTTAAAACATACCCATACATTTTTAGAGTGAGGAAGCCTGAGTAAAGAGTAAATAATTTTTAAAAGTTAACTTAGCAGGGAAAAAAAAGTTTAATGTATAAGACAAATCTGTTGGAAATGCTATTGCTTTTGGCTCAAGGCCACTATATGACTTACCTGGCAGAAGGTTTATGGAATACAAAGGGTTTGGGTGGAACACTTTATCTGGGGACTAACTGCTGTGTTTAGGGACAGATTTAGCTTGATTGAACTAAAATGTGTAGGTAAAGAATACAGCGTGAGGCTTCAATAGCTAGAGTCAGGTGGAACACAGTTCCTGGTTTGGTCATTTAATAAATATTTGTTTAACGACATAACTAAAATTGGAAAAGATCTTTGAGGTTCTCAGGAATTAAAATAAACAAACAAAGAAACAAAACATACAGTGGAATTACCTGCAGGGGACCAAAAAGTTAATTTAGGTTTTTAACAATAGATAAAATATGGAAATGAAAATCATCACTAAGTTGTTAAATTGTCAGTTCTGCTGGAAGTTGAGAAACCATGAGCTGTCTATGAATTAATGATAGAGAGAAGGTGTAGATGAACAGGGCATGCTAAGACAAAAACCTTTGATTTTTTTTTTTTTTTTTTTTTTTTTAGTTTGGTTAAAATTTTCTGATTTTCCATTTACTGGATTGTCTACAAATATTGCAAGGGGACTATATCATGCTTTGAACCCTGTGGAAGAATATTTTTAATTCATATAGAATAAAAATAAAATATGCCATGCTTGCCCTTAAAGATAAAAGCAAAACATTAAAAAAAAATTGTAATACCACAGCTTCCCTAAGCCCGACAATCTTTGCCTTCGTGTTACCTTTATTTTATTTTTTAAAATTTTTTTCTTTTCTTTTTAATTTTTTCCCTTAATTTTATTGACAAACAAATAGCAATGAGACAGTTTCAAATCAAATTGGTAGGACAGTTTCAATAATTAACACATTGCATACTCTCTTCCTAGTGGTTATTTGCTGTACAAGATGCAGACATGATATCCTATTTACAAACACTATTAGAACAAATCCCTCTATTCATTAAGAGAATGTAACTGTATATCTATCCCAAACTCTTTGAATACACAGATACAAAATGGACATTCATTTATATATCCCCTTTTTTGTTTAGTTCTGTCATTTGAATATTATAGGTGTGTTAACTCAGCAAAAATATTCTAAAAGAGTCCCGTAATCCATAACAGTATTGGGTCTTCCGCTTGACTGGCAGTGTCAGAAATTGTTGACCTGAGTCCCCTACAGCTCAACATAACAGCATGGCTTTACTTCTTGTACTTTGAAAAACCTTTGATTTTATTGTAGGTGGTTCAAGTCAGTAATTAAAGTCAGCAAATCATTTTTTTTTTTAATTTTAGGGAAGGGTCTACAGGGTGTTCAGGGTCTCACTACTAGATCGGACTCAGAGTGATCTGCCTGTTTACAGCCTCCCAAGAGCTGGGATTACAGGCATGTGCCACCACACCCAGTCTCAATTGCCGTCTCAGCATGCCTTGGGAGGACTGCAGCAGCATGGCAGGCCCAGGGATTGAACCCCCAGCCCCTGCGCCTGCTTGCAGGCACTTTAATCTGCTGAGCTATTTGGCTGGCCCTTGCAAATCATTTTAAAAGCACCCAATGGGCGTAAGTTAAAGATAAAGTAATTACAGTAGTATTAGCCTGGTTATAGATGTTTCAAGGCTACAAATCATTAATTTATAGCAAAACATGTAAAGGAGATATTAATAAGATATTGACAGCAAATATTAATCTGGCATAGAAATGAGCATTACCAATGATGCAGTATTTGTACAGTATGCCTGTGTAACTGTTGGGGAAAAGTTTTCTAACAGATCACAGCAGCGGAAGATGTAGGGCAGTAGTGCCCTGCCTGCCCTGGCTTCAGTCCTTGCTACCACACACACACACACACACACACACACACACACACGACCATAGACTGTATACTTTTATTGCTGAAAGTTAATATTTGATATTATACAGATTGAGTTTGTCATGCTTCCACAATACCAATTATAGCAAAATCAACTTCCAGAATAAATTTAAAATGTGGAGTTACTGATAAGACTTAGAGAAGTCACACCAGCTAAATAATGAGAACTGTACTACACACCAAGTGTCATCAGAGGCCAAGTCACATTTCAACTTTTAATTCATTGCACTTTTACAGAGAGAAAAAATTCTTTTTGTCTTGTGTACCAGTTTACTCTAAACTGATTTTTAAAAAAAATGTATTTGGCACAGGGTCTCATTATGCAGCTCAGACTCTTATTAGTGATTCTCCTGTTTTCAGCCTCCCCAGCCCTGGAATTACAGGTGCAAGCCACCATGCCTGGTCTCAGTGGCCAGCTCAGGGTGCCCAGCAGTGGGGCTGGTGGGGATCAAATCCTGGCCCCTGCACTTGCCTGGTCAGGTGCTTAATTTGCTGAGCTATCTCGCTGGCCTTTTTTGAATTTATTTATTTATTTATTGATTGATGATCAAAAGACAGAAAAGAGAAGGAAGCCAAGTCCAACGCTTATGATTGATTAATTACTAGGAAAGCTTTATATTCTTTATTAGAAAACAAGCAAAAAGTGAATCTGAGAAAGAGTCCCACCATGTGCTGAGTGTGGGGAGAGAGTGGGTGAATAGCTCTGAGGGCTGGTTAATCTGTGTTTCTGATCTCAGAGAAGAGGCGCAGGCAGACTTCAGCAGTCTCCAGAGCTCTTCCAAGTCCCATGATGGTCACCCCAAAGCAAGAGCTGGCTCCCACACTTCTGGGAGTAGTGGAGACACATCAAGGACCTTAACTAGCTTATCAAGTTTTCCCAGAGTCCCAGAGTCATACTGAAGCAACACGGTGACTTCAGGGTACCCAGGAGAGCAGGATTACATCAGAGCAGCAAGTGGAATTGTTGGAACCAAGGAGGCCTCTTAGTCCAGGTGCACCTGAATAGATTGACACTGAGGACAAGATAGGAGAGTGAATGGATCTCAGGGTGTCCACACAGGCGAGGCCACCACAATGAGGTAAGAGCCCTTCCTTCCTCAGACTACTTCTAAGAGATAACATGTTGAATTACATATTTCTCATTACCTGACTCAAGTTCCCAGTATTCCCTGTGTAGGAATGAGAAAGGTATAGGCATGATATGAAACATTAGTGATACACAGGAATTTTGAAAAAGCAGAGGTTTGTATTTCTACCAGTGATGGTTTAGGTCATTCTGACTCTTCCTCTGAAAAGTAACTAAAATGCTAGTCATGATATAAAATAATCTTATATAAACCAGCAAATAGAAAGGAACCACCAGGCTAAATTTTGGGGCAAAGTGAAACCCAGAGAGGTAAGGAAAGCACACAGATACTTTTACCATCTTGGGGCCATGTTTGTGGGTAGGAGCATATCTGAATGGATTTCAGCTGGTGGAAATGGAACAGAAACCAGACCAAAGGCCTCAGATAAATGGGCAAAACTTTTAAATGCCTTCCTCATATGAAGCTGGGCTCTTAAAAGATAAACCCCTAAAATAAGGGTAAAGCAGAATGGTCTACCTCCCACTCAGATACCCCAAGGACAGTTGCCTTCACATATAAGCAAATGCCATGGAAAGGGAGGCTCTTGGGTATCCACAATCTAGTTGCAAGATGGCAACCCAAATGTACACCATCTGGGTGGTCTGAACGAAGTGGCAAGTGTAAGTTCAAGTTGTTTCTGGCAGAAGCAGAGGAGAATGGCTACCATCCCAAGCCTCAAAGAATCTCTGAAAGCAACTTTTCATCAAAAATAACAAAGCATGCAAGAACAGACAGATAAAAGGGGAGAGTAAAAATGCGGGGCCTAAGAACAGATTCATGCTCTAATGAATTCTGGAGCCATTCATTCATTTATTAAAAAAATATTTACTGAGTACATACTCTGTGCCACTCTTTAGGACAGGTACCCTCTAAGCTGTGATGTGAAAAGATCACCTAGATACTAAAAAGCCAGTTGAGCTACCATTATATTTTTGTTTATTTATCTTTACCTTTGGAGTTTTCCTAAGACTGCCAAACACAGAGACTAATGCATACCCATTGCTATTTAGTGATGGATTCTGAAATGAACATCATCTTTCAGGACTGAGACTGATATTACAGACATTCCTTGTTTTACAATGTATCCATCTAATAATCATTCAGACTTACAACTGAGGCATGCAGTTCAGACTTAGGACCCACTACTTGGACTTACAGCCCATCTCTTTTAGTACAACTCTGTACATCTTATTAGCAAGGCTCAGGGTCTTTTTTTGTACAGTAGACCTTATTTACACAACACTGTAGTTTTTTCTGATTGCAATGTATGGTATAGTGCTGTAGTTTTATGTTCTGCTACACATTACAGTATTGAAAGAAGAGTTATGCAAATAAAAGCAAAATCATCAAATGGAATTTCCCTTGACCATTTCTTTGCTCTGAATACTGTAATGTACATACAAGGTACAATTCCTCATTTAGCGACCTTGTAGTAGGATTTACTGACTGGGCCATTAAATGAGCAATGCCTATATTGATTCCTTCTTAGATGCTCATTTTCTAAAGGCTTCTTTGTTGGGCTAAGATTAATTATGCCCTTGGCAAACCACAGGGCCATGTGTATTAACAGAAAACTGATGAAAGACAAAGATAGATATCTCAAAGAGACATAAAGTTCAGTGCTAACTACATTTATCTTTTTCAGGGAGGAGTACGATACTGGAGATTGAATGCACAGCCTTTGCATTGAACTACATCCCCAACCCTACTTTACTTTTCATTTTAGCACAGGGTGAGTTACTAAGCTGTTGGGCTGGCCTCACACTTGTGATTCCCCTGTGTTAGTGAGCCTCCCAGAGTGCTGGGATTACAGCTATGCAGCACTGCCACCTAACCACATTTATCTCCAACTGTACTAAAGTCCAAACAGACCTACCTACTGTTAGGAATCATAGCATGAATTGAGAAAAATTGTTTTTTCAGATGTGCAACAGTTACGAAACAGCTGAAGGTACAAGCAGGGTGGAGGGAAGTTGGTCCAATATTTATTGATACACAGACTGCCTTTCTTGATCAAAGCTGTGGGCAGAAGTTTACCTATTCAATATTTAGGCTGCTTAGTTGCATCTGTTCTAGGTGTCACCTCTTTTGTCTTCTACCTAGATTTTCACAGTAAGGATTACAATTGTCACATCTACAGGTCTGCATTTGTTTTCCCTTATTAAATATCCTGGGAATTGTCATTTACTGAGCCTTTGGAACACCCTGACTCGTGCTTTCTTTTGAGGTATGCCAAACCACAAGAGTATAGTGTAACAATAATGAAGGCCATTATTATTCCATTTTATAGATGAGGAAGCAAGAGGCCAGAGAGGTTACATCCGGGTACAGAGGTTCAGAGGAGTGGGCACTTTGATGTTGGCCAGACTTGGATTTAAGTTGTGCCTCTTCCCTGTTATTTTACCTCTCCTAGAGAGGAAGTTCAGCTTTTTCTTTTTTCTTTTTTTTCAGTGCTGGAGATGAATCCAGGGCCTCATACATGCTAGGCAAATGTTCTGGCTCAGGTTTCTGAGACGGGAGCTTCCATGGGGACGAGGCGGAAGCCAAATATGCTGGAGTGTATGGCTCTGGGAAGTGCTTGCTTTTCTTTCTTCCAGAGACTTCTCACCTACAAATCCAGGTTTACCCTAGGCTGTACCTTCAAATTGCTTGTTTCTTTATTTTTTTGGTACTAGGAATTGAACTCAGGATCTTGACCTTGCCAGGCAGGCACTTAAGCTGCTGAGCGATCTTCCCAGCCCTCAAATAGCTCTAAAAGGAAACACTGCAATGAAAATAATGTACTATTGTACATAATTTCAGTAATAAGGAAAGTGCAGGTAAATGTTTTTAAACCCCTTCATTCTTCCCCAACACAGACTTGTGTGATCCTTGAGAATAATGTAAGTTTTCAGTTGGCTGTTTCCAGATCATAACAACATTATCTGTACTGGCCTTGACAAATGTGGATCCAGGAAATGCTGAAGAAGAAAAGCCCAGATGTCTGTCTTTCCTTCTCCCCAGTCCTCTGGATGCAGTATACCTCTCCAGCAACTCTGGGTGTCTAGGCAACAGGGTTTGAGGTAAGTCAAGGTGGGAGGGAGGGATGCGACTGCTAAGCATTTCTTTGGTTTCCCATGGTAAGGACATATAACATAGAAGAAACATACTACCTTTTTAAGAAGAACATATCATTTTTTCCAGTTATGACAAAAGCATCTAATAATACTCTTTGATTTAACCCAAAACTATTTAATCGTCCTAGAGTGCTCTGAAATGAACAGCCACTTGCTGTAACAAGAACTCACTCATACAGTCATAGATTCGCTCAGTGCATCTGTACTGATTATCAACCTGTACCTCCCACCCAGCTGATCACAATAAGGATTCAGCTTGTCACTATCCGACACAAAGCAGGGCTCACTACTTGAGGTAGCTGCTGCGGGAGCTGACTGTCCCCTACTGATAGTGCACCAAAACAACAAACACTGAGAGTTCCTAGTAAGATCAGCCCAGCCCCGTTCTAGGGCTGGCTTCTGATGTGAGTATGACACACTTTTCAAATAATTTGATTCAGAGGCCTCCTGTATGCACAGCTTTTGGACTGCCAGACTTCAAAACACATGCTCACCTAACAAGTTTTATTTTGGTACTGGGGAATGAACTCAGGACTCTGCACTTGCCAGGCAGGCGCTTATTCTACTGAGCTATCTTCCCAGCCCTCACCCAACACTTAAAGCCTGAGAGGTTTCATACCCATTTATAGCTGGCTTGCTGCAAATAGGACCAATAATACCTATCTGGCCCCTTTGGGAACTGAAGTTGATAGTTGGAATTTAACTGTTAGGCTAAATAAAATTTCTTAAGTCTTGTTTCAATCAACTATTTCTAATGTTCATTCAATCCTAATATAGACCCCTCCTTCCAGAATGTTCGAAATCCTGATTCTCAAATTCCTGACTCATGACTATGCAGTCTCCACAAGTGCTGTGCAAAGCCCTATCCTCAACCTTACACTTCCATAAGCTCTTGCTAACTGCAAGCATGAAGAGCCCATTCAGTCTTTTTTTTTTTTTCTTTTTGTATTTAGTACAGGGTCTACAGGGTCTCACTACATAGATCAGACTGGTAGTGATTCTCCTGTTTTCAACCACCCAAGTGCTGGGATTACAGGCATGCACCACCAGGCCCAGTTTTAGCGCACCCCAGGGGCAGGGCTGGCATGTCACTTGGGATTGAACCTGGTTGTTGCACCTGCCCAAACAGGCGCCTTAGTCCGCTGAGCCATTCAGCTCTTTCTGACTGATGGTTGATAAAGGTTCCATCAGATCCAGAAGAAATTTTTCTTTCTTTTTTGGTGTCTTTGAGTCAGAGTCTCAGAATAAAATTCAGGCTGGCCTAAAGCAATCCTCCTGCCTCAGCCTCCCGACTGCAGGGACGACAGGCTTGTGTCACCTTGCTGGCCAGAAGGAATTCTTGATTCAAGCAGGAAGGTGAGAACATGACTCCAGTGCTGTAGCAAATGGGTACTATGGAAGCTCATCACTTAGAAGACATCAGTTAGGATCCCACAAAAGCTAATATAATAAAATAGGTATACAAGTGATCTTCACTTAATATTTTAAAAACATTACTGTGAAACGCTCCAATTTAAAGCATCCCTGTAAGAGGCAGCCAGATGCTTGCTGCTGGGGCCACACTTCTAGCCCCCACATGGCCTCTCTATTTTCTTGCCTACCTTTGGGGCAGTGTCCTAGCTTACTACAGATGCTTTTATACTCCTCAAAGATAGTTCAATGATAAGCCTCCCCACCTTCGCTGAGGTGCTACCATTTCTAAGGATGCAAAATTGTTGAGACGGAGTGTTGTTATAAAGGAAAGGAACGTTTTTGATAAACCCTCCTATTTCCATTAAAAGAAGACGTCTCGATCCATTCTGGAGAAACTGTATCTGCAGGAAGCAGTCCCTTTGCCTCACTTCACCCGCCTGAGCCACCTAGGCTCAGTACTGAATTCGAGGTGCCGCCCGACGCCAGCAGGGCGCAGACTCGTGTTACAGGGTCAGATCCTACCGGCTCAGACATGCCATTTCCCTCAGCCAGACAGCAAGCTTGTCTGTTAAATACCCTCCGAGAAGGTTCGGCCGTCAGAACCCCCGCGCCCGGAATCAGCCCAGCCCACGACCCACTCCGCCTGCCCGAGGTCGGGGAGGAAGCCGCGGCGGCGACTCTAGGCGCAGCTCGGGACGGAGAGGGAGTTTCCCGTGCCCGGCGCCCGCCGAGATCTGGACCAGGCGGCCCGGCCGGTCCTCCCGGGCGTGAGCTCCGGGAAGCGCGCAGAGCGCGGAGCGCGGGGCTGTCCGATCCGGCCTCGCCGCCCGCTGCTCCGGGAGGGACCCGGCCGGGACGTGGGGGCCCAGGCGCTGCCGCTAGCCTACCGTCCTCGGCTTCTTGACCCCCGACATGCTGCTGCTGGCAGGGCGGCGCGGCCCCGGAGCGCGGGACGGACACGAAGGTCGCTCGGAAGGCGGCGGCGCGGTCGGCGGCGGCCCGGTCCCGAAGGAGGTATAAAAGGGCTCGCAGACACGTCGCACTTCCCTGGACCAGCCCCTTCCCTCCTCCTCGCGCTCCTCCCGCTCCTCCCGCCCAGTCCGCCCGCAGCGCCCAGCCCCGGGGACCCGGCCAGCCTGGCAGCGGGCGGTGTCCGACCCACTTCCGCCCTCGCACCCCAGGGGTGCCAGGCGGCCTCGACCCGCCTTCGCGCTTCAACCTGGAGCCCGCGAGGCCCGGGAGGTGGCCTGCAGAGGGCAGGGATGCTTGAGGTCGCCACCGTCGGCCAGGACCTCGGAGCACTCCGAGGCGCAGCTCGGATTCAGCATTTTCATGGGCCCTTACAATGTGCTCCGCTGAGCTCTGACTTCTTTATCCAGGGGTCCCCTCTTGGCCCTGCCCCAGGCAGCAAGCCAGTTTACAGAAGGCAATAGAGGTGGTCCAACTTCCTCAAGATTCTATGCCAGCGAGGGGATTTGGGCTGGGGCTGTCAGCCTTCAGCGTGCAGACTTTGTACACTGGCATCACCAACACTGTGATAAGGAAACCACCAGGCTCCCGGCTTCCTGTGCCCTATGCACCAGGCGACCTGCCAAAAGGTTTACCTGCACTCACTGCTTTTCAGCTGATGCACAGTCACTAGGGGGGACATTGCACCTTTTCTCCATGTCCAGAAGCTGAGGCCAGGCCCTCCATGGCCAGTGGCAGCTCAGAAACTTGGTCAATCTGTCCCTAAACATCCCTCTAGAGTAGTACAGGGTTTTTGTCAACAGGGCTGGGCCCTGTGGAGACAAATCAGGAGAGCACAGCTTAAGAAGGCTGTGACTCTGGGTTCTACTCATGTGAGGCATCTCCCAAAAGGCCAGCAGGTAAGGAGCAACCACAGCGACAGCGCCCTGGGGACAGCCACTGGGTATCATGTCTTTTATGCCCAGATTCCTTGCCACAAACAGATCAATGTAATACTAGCCATACAAAACCTAAGAAGACACACAGAGCCACAAGTATTCTAACACTAGTCCTTTTGCTGTGAAAGGGCTGGAGAATTTATATTTTAAGGATGTGAAGGATGGAATTTTTCTTTCATACCTAATTGTATTTCTGGAAGACTGCCAGTTTTCCAGACAGACATCTGAAGATCTGAGTAGTCATAGACTTCCCTTCTCCATGGGAAGGTGGGAAAGAAAATAAATTAGGAGTCAAAAACATTAAAAGCCAGCCTGCATGTCTGCAGTACTGAGAGGGCAGCCTCTTTACTTACTCATTTTGCAATTGCTCCCTTTATAGGTAAGTAGCTGGGGGCTGAAGACTGCCTTTCTGTTCTACACTGACTGGCACACTTTGAATTGATGTGAAGTTTAAAGGGCGACATCCTGTTCTTTTCACTAGAAAAGATCTTACATTTGTTCCAATCGTATCTTGAGCTTTGCCAAATCCTGCCCTAAAAGAAGGTAAATTAAGTACTGGTTGAGAAATCATGCAGTTTCCATGAAATATTTTCTTTGTATTGTGTCTTTAAACAAACAAACAAAACAGCTGTTTTCTAGAAGAAACTTGAGGGCACATCCCTAAAAGCTGTTTCCTGGAAAAGAAACATATAGTCCTGGGATAGGGTTTTGAGATCATTCACCCAATTTCCATATCCCTGTAGTTTACATATTAGCAAAATAAAACTGGTACTCAAGGAAGGGAAGTAATTTGACTGTGATCAGTAGCTAGGGCAGCCAGCTCCCCAAATGCTCTCTGAACACTCCTACTCAGCCGTTAGGTCACTGCTTCAAGACTCCATGATGAATATAGAGCAGATCGTTTATTTTGTTTTAGAATTTTTTTTTTCAAATTTGCACTTTAGAACAGATTTTTTTTTTTATACTAGTCCAAAGATTTGCAAGATTAGAGGTCTCAGTGTGAAAATTTCAATTTCCTCTGATTCAAGCCAGGTTGTTCACGACCCTTAACATTATAGATCATTGGGCTGGTGAGATGGCTCAGTGGTCTAAAGCACCTACTTAGAACAAGCTTAGCAAAGCACAGGGACCGCGGTTCGATCCCCCAGCACCACATGCCAGCCAGCGCCGCCCCCTGGTGGGCTGAGCTGGCCACACACACACACACACACACTAAATAAATAAACTTAAAAAAAATTATAGATCATCAGTTTAGTCATAATTCAGCATGGTAACTAACTAAAAAGTTAAAAAAATTACTTCCCAGGAATTACAGGCATGCATCACTATGTTCAGCTAGGTTCTTCTTAAAAGCATTGTCTTAAACTTTATTATTATTTTTTTAATCTCACTACCCTCTGACAGAGCACTCTTGCTAAGAGATATGAGCAATTATAAGCTTAAGTTATGGTGTGGGCACATGGGAACACGGAGCAGACACACGTTGGGGGAGGAGTTGAGTTGAGGACTGTTTCTTCAAACCTGCACATTCTCCATTACTTCCACCGGTGCACTCTCCCAGATGACCAGGTTGAACACTATGGACTACATTATACCCACTCATAATCCTTTGTGTTACTCACAACATTCACATGCGGGTTGGGTTTCCCCTCTATTTTCTTTTCTTCTCTCCAGAAACTGGTTTGGCTTGAATAATTTAAAAAGGTGGTGCTTACTAGTTGATCCTTTTATTGTTTAGAAAAATTGGAATTAATCAACTCATCCAAATAAATAGGGAAATATATACAAAGAATGCCATTATTGATGAGAGATTTAGGTCACAGGGTCCCTCATGCTTTTTGGTCCCCCATGCTTCATGACTTTTTAATGGGGGCAGCCACCCTGAATGGTCATTACAAAGGGATGCAACTATATTGCCCCTTAGTGGTTGAAATGCTTACATGCCAGGAGACATCTAATTGTCAAAACTACTTGTTTAAAAAAAAATGTGCAGCATTACTTTGAGTAAAGAAGCTCTTTAAAAAGTTCTGGGGCCAGGGAGATAGCTCAGTAGAATAAGCGCTTGCCTGGCAAGTGCAAGGGGCTGAGTTCAATCCCTGGTTCTGCAAAGAAAAAAAAAAAGAATTAAAAAGATCTATAGGATCCAAACACTTTTCTCAGGCATGAACTCTACCAAGAAAAGCAAGACATAGTCACTGTCTTCAAGAAACTCACAGTCACTGAAGGAAACAGACTCTACACCATCATTTCAATATAATACATGATTGGGACAGGTAAAAATGATATATGCATGCCTTAGACTTTTTATTTTTTCTTAAAATGCATACACTTAACTAAGATTTTGATATTGGGATGAGGGCTTCTAGCATGTCTACTGATAGGAGTTCCACAAATCACTTTCTTTTTTTTTCTTTCGGTGGAACTGGGGATTGAACTCAGGCCCTTGCACTTGCCAGGGAAGTGCTTATTTCACTGAGCCATCTCCCCAGCCCCTACAAATCACTTTCATTATAAATCTCCAACAAGTTTTATAAAGTGGAATTAGAGATTACAGGCACTTCAGAAGCAATCTGAGAACAGTCTTGTTTACAACTGATCTAACAGTATAGTTTTTAGCAGCTTATCTTTCCAAATTATCTCTCCATTTTTGTAGAAGTCAATTCTTTTTACACTCATGTTATTCATTTAAATCCTAGCTATCACATTACCAAGTAGCTGAAATAAATAACTGAAGAACAAACACAAAAGATTTCAGCAAACCTCCAGTTTAGGGACATAAGTATGTGGACATCTCGGTGTATCTGACTATTGAACATCAGGTTTGCAGAGGATGTCCATCCTTACTTCTTTTTTAGGAGAAATGGAGAGTGTAGACTCAACTGACCAGTGAGTTACAACAGAGGGTGTGATGGGAGCACAAGGGAGGGACATCCAATTCCACTTTGAGAGGATGAAGGGTGGAGACCCCACACCTGGGTTTTCTTGGAGAAGAGAAGGCGAGGACTGAGGCTTGCAAAGCTGTCCCTTTCTAAAGAGCATGCTGTAAAAATTGAAAATCTTAAAGGCAGCAAAGTGCATGAGATAATATGGTATGCTCAGAAAATTATAAGTATCTGTATTGCTGATTTCAGGAGACATAACAATGGAGTGGAGAAGGCTGTGATTGAGGACATCCATCCTCCCATGCAATCAGTCAGCAACATGACTTTGCATGTTCTCTCCTCAGGCCCATCGCAGGGTTAGGTATGTGGCTGGTTTTTGCAGCAATTATAGGATCCTTCTCCAGTTCAAGGATAGAAGTCACTGTTATGAAGTCCATGAACTGGTGAGTGGAATAGACAAATAGAGGGATAATTCCAAGGACATGTCTTAAGTGCTGCAGTAAATGGATTTCTGGAATTATAGGAAAAGTGCCAGAACTAAAACCAGGAGCAATGACTGCTGAACCATGATGAAACTCTTAGGCAGTTGATCTTTAACCTGAGTTTTCAAGGATAAAGTGCAGGCACACAAGAAGACAAACCGTCATCTTACTCACCAATGGCTAAGGCTGCTTGGGCTGATGTCTCTCCACTCCATTGTTATGTCTCCTGAAATCAATAATACAAATACTTCTAATTTTCTGAGCATACCATATTATCTCATGCACCTCTCTGCCTTGAAATTTTTCACAGCATGCCCTTTGGAAAGGGAGAGCACTCACAAAACCTTACCAGCTCTGCAAGCCTCAGTCCTCACCTTCCCTTCTCCAAGAAAACCCAGACGTGGGGTCTCCACCCCTCATCCTCTCAAAGTGGAATTGGATGTACCTCCTTTGTGCTTCCATCATACTCTCCGTTGTAACTCACTGGTCAGTTGAGTCTGAGAAAGAACAGTCTTGTCTTACCTACAACTGATCTGACAGTACAGTTTTTAGCAGCTTATCTTTCCAAAGTATCTCTCCATCTTTGTAGAAATCAATTCTTTTTACATTCATGTTATTCATTTAAGACCCAACTACCACATTACTAAGTAGCTGGAAAAAATAGCTGAAGAACAAACACAACAGTTTTCAGCAAACCTCCAGCTTAGGGATGTAAGTGTGTGGACATCTGGGAAGATAGGGCAGATGTAAAGGAAAGATGGAAGGAAAAAAGAAAGAAAGGAAGAAAGGAAGGAAAACAGGAGGGGGAAAAGGAGGAAGAGGGGAGAAAAAGAAGAAAAGATGAAA